AATTATTGGAACACCAAAAAAAATCCCAGTCTATTTAAAAAATATATCTGATGATTTGTCAGGTGCCCATGGTAATAATCTGTTATGAAGGGAAACGTGGGTACTTTGGCCAAAAGATCTGTGTCTAGCCTGTGCCTAGCTTCTTTGGAATTTAGAATTTTGAGGTTGAAATGTGCTTGAAAGAGTCTCACTCAGTGCTTTTTATAGATGTAGATGTTGAAATCCAAAGATGTCAATGTGACTTCATATGGCAGTCATTTTAGTGACTGAAGCAGGATAAAGCTTGGATTTCCCAACTCATGGTCCAGCATCCTTTCCTCTTCACTACAATGCCTCCTCTGTGCAGATTACCAGCTGAAGAACTTGTTGGTTGCAGCAGCTATAAAAATGCAAACCATATGTAGAAGTAGACCAAGGCAGTTGTACGGCATCAGCCGAAATATGGGGGAATGGCAATCATGCTGTTTGTAGAAAGCCAGTGCAGGACGGCGTTCAATTCCCTGGGATTGAACCCCAGTTCTGTTGTAACCCAGGTGTTTCTCCTTGAATGAGTTACTTAACTATTCTCTATAACATTTTTTCTCATTTGTGAAATGGAAGCTAAGATCTATCTTTGAAAAAGTGGTGGTAGAATTCTTATAAGACTTAAAGTATTCATAACAGGGCTCAGAACATAATAACTTTATAGGAGTTTGTTAAATAAATGTGTGGTATATCTATACACTTCCTAATTAGTTTCTTTCAGGTACTTTTGTACAGGGGGAACTATTTACAAGTCTGGCTTTTATTTTGTCCAAGTCCTTCCTTCTAGTAATTCATAGGTATTGGTTCCTGGACCTTACTTCTTATGCAAAATCTAACTCGAATTTTCAAGTTACTCTAGAGATCTTCATTAGCAAGACAAGTATTTTTGTTGTTTGTTTGGATTGGGTTCAACAACTAAGATGCTCGAGGATCTACCACACTTTACTGTCATTGTATGCAATTCTGATATAAATTTAGTTCCCTCCACCATTGCAAATTTGTAAAAGCAAAGTTATAAAAAAGGAAATCAACCAAATTTCATTAGTTCTTAACTCATCTTTTCAAAGTAGAACTTTGTTCCAGACCCTGGCTCTAACTTTTGCACATTTATGTCTGGGAAGCCTCTGATGTCTCATGCACCCCACACTCTTTGGGGCCTATCACACTGCCACTACTTTCAGAGGCCACTTTGTGAACGTCAAACTCTGATGAAGGTCCCTTCTCCTGTGGTTCCCAAGGTTGTTGGCTCATTTTCCATACAACATACATGGTGCTGATTTTGCAACAAAATCAGGAAAAATGCCCCTCTCTTTCATAGATTATCACAATTTTTATATGGGATCCAAGGACCCTGGTGCCTTTACAATGAATTCTTGAGGTAAGGGAATCCTTCTATTTCCACCTCTTTTCAATGGCCTAGATCTGAGTTCTGAAGACTGCTGATGGAGGATGTGGTTCCCCACCCCACCCTAAATTCCCCTGACCCTTTCTCATCCTTCAGGAATACAACAGGAAACCTCACAAAATTTAATTTCAAGAGGAAAACTGTCCATAACTTCCTCAGATTACTCTCTGACAAATCCCTGGCACAGCTGAGGAACAACCACCCTTGTCCTCACCACCCCTGGATTTCATCTCCTTTCCTTCCATTTTTTGATCATCTGAATGCTAAATATTACAAAGATTTCATTTTCCATAGCATTAACTTCCTAATCTATGTAGTACCACTTCTGGGCTACTTTCAGAATCAAGCTCCCAAGTGATAGATGGATTTAGTCAGAATCATATTTCCTGTTTTGTGAATTGTTTATAATCCAAAGATAGAAGCTGTTCATGTATCACTGTCCCTCACCCTACTATAATGCCTAGTTGCAAGAGGGAGGTGAGTTGGTTGGATCCTGGGAGAGAGCTAGATAAATTAGGAAAAGGAAGCAAGTTTGTCTTCTTTTTCTTTACCTGTTGACACTTGGCTTTCTGGGGACCTTGGTCAGGCCCACTAAAGTTTGCTGTCCATTCCTTGTTAAAAGAATCAGAGAGTCATCCTATCCACCAAGCAAGCAATACTGAGCTCAGAAACCACTCTTGAGTCCTGTACCCAGACCATTTTCATATAGTAGCTAATCAAATGATCCAATGAACCCAAATTGCTAGATTTTTAAATGTAATTGACATCCTGTCCAAAGTCCAAAAGGAAGGGGCTATATTTGCCTGCACCAAGTACTTAACCTGAGGTCATTAAAAATGACTTCATGGCATTATGGGCTAGTCCACAAACTGAAGAAGACTTGCTTCAATTCACTATTTCAGACATTAGAGTTAGTTGATTTCAGAATTGCGAACCCCATAATATCTTGGTATAATAATGGCTACTACAGGTATGCTATTGCAACAACCCAAACCATTTCATCTTGTTGGCAATTTGATTGTGTTTAGGTTATGATTACTCAGATGGAAAATTAGTTTTTGTACGACAACATTACTAAAAGTCTTTGAGGGATAAATAAGATGGCCATGAAGCACAAACATTTGTTGTTGAGCTCAATGGCAAGAAGTCTCCCTGGTTCCATTTAGAAGGGTTTGATGACCGTCTTCAAAGTGCTTGGAAGCTCCAGCACAATAAACACTTTGAAGAACAGTGTTTTTTCATCCTCCTGCCTTAGGCCTGCCTGTTTCTGGCATAGATTAGCAATGTTTGTCTTTTTTTTTTTTTTCTTTTCTTTTCTTTCTTTCTCTCACAATGGGACAGTTTCCCCTTAATGACTGCTTCTATCCCATGTGAGTACCAAGCTTTTCAAATGACTTAGATTTTGGTACTCCACTGTGCTGAAACAACTTCATTAATAAAAGACGGATTCCTGAGATCTTTTGTTGATTATAGTATTTGTGTTAGAACATTGTGTCTCCCACATCACAGCGATGCAGGCAGGACTACCACCATGGCAGCAAGCATTACAGCAGCAAATTAACTCTGGCCCTGGGTGGCTTTCTCAACCCTCTTTTTGACAGTGATGGACCTTCCCTCAGCAATGACTTCTTCCCAAGGAAAAATCAACTGAAACAAAACAAAAACAAACCGAAGATTCCACATTATTTTTACTCAATCATTTAGCCTACTGTTTCCCCAAACTACCTCTAGATCTCAACTGCCAAGCTTTCTGCAAGAAAAATGTTTCCCTGGTGTCCACTGGGTGAATTTGAAGTCATGGTGGAAATCATAGGATCATAGGCTCTTCTTGAACTTGAACTTCGTCAAGCAGGGCAATTGTGTACTTCCCAAAAGTCTTAAAACCACTCCATGATTCTTTGCGTATGGACAAACAAACAATTTGCCTTTTCTATTTTCCTTATTGTGGGCACTAATTACATGACAATTAAAGAAAGCCTGAGAGGGCGTAATGGAGAATTTCTAATGAATCTTGTGTTTTTATGAGCCAAAGAGAAGACTTAAAATTGGATTGGTGAAAAGGGGCAAAAAAAAAAAAAAAAAAGGAATTATTTGACACAAAAAGGAATCATTACACTGTTCTAGTCCTTTTTGGCAATCCCTTCCTGAAACAAAATTTTTGTTTTTCCTGAGAAAGGATTAAATCCCTACATGATATGGATTTAAGTGTGGAATCATGACACATTCTCACTCCCCTTTTTATTGTGTGTGTATGTGTGTGTACATGGGTGCATATACATACATATTAAAATATTTTGTTTTCTTTCAGTTCTTTTTGTCCAGATTATAACATCTATAGAAATTTCATAACAATAGTACTCATTTATAATTCAGTGTGCTTTTTACCTCACTCCTAACATGCATTCGTTATTAAACTTGGCAGTAAATGGAGGTTAATGCACATAGTTATGCATGCGCACACACAGTAACTGGACTCAGAGTACTTCAGACAAAAGATTTCCTCTAGCAAAAAAATAAAAAATAGAAAACTAAAACAAAATTAAAAATATGGAGCAAAACTCCAATAATTCTCATTTTCTAATTCAAGAAAATTGGAACTCTCCTGCTGAAATAAAGAGTTTGGGGTGAATTTACATAAATTTGAGATTTCACATGGAGATAAGTGCAAGTGAACTATCTGGAGATTATAAAGTGCCTGTGTTAAGAAGCTGTGTCTTTCATACTCAATCCAATCTCCCTTTTTTCTTCATACATAACAAAATTACCACAAAAAAATGAAATTATGGAAAAGCTAAAAGAAAATTAACTTCAGAAGTGAAATAGATAGTCCTGAGTTGGAAACCTTGTTACCACTAATGTCACTTAACTGTGACTGAGATTCCTCTGTCAGAGTTGGGGTCACAACTACTGTGCAGGGTAGTTAAAATAATGATATGCAAATATCAAATAAAGTTATGCATAGGGACATTCTTGGTCTATATAGACATTTATGGAAGCTATTTTCTCCATATAACCTTGGGGATGGACATAGATACTAGACTAAAACTAAAGAAGAAACAGTTAAATTAATTCTTCACTTTACTTTCACTTCCAAATTGGTTCTCTTGATCATGGTATTAGGACAAAGTATGGTTCTTTTGCGTGTGCATAGTTCTTGACCTCTGGTTGAGCTATATCTTTCTAGTTTTCTAGCCAGAAAGGAAAGGAGGAAGAAAGAAGAGAAGGTAGGAAGAAAGAAGGAATGAGGGAAGGAAATAATACCTCTTTATTTCCTAGAAGTAGTTACTACTACATTTGGAGACATAGGAAAAGAACAAAATCAATAAAATAAAAATATAGCTGGCCCAAGCATGTACAGCCTATTCCCAGCCTCTGCTATGGAAATACTTGAGCTCTATAACTGCACAGTTTGTACTCTGTCCCCATAATCAGTCTGTTTCTCCTCCTCTTCTGGATAAACACATAGAAACAAAATTATCATCCAGCAAAGGTTGTGGCAATATGTGTGCAAAGCTGACCGTGGAAAACCAATAAGAAAGACATAAAATAAAAATAAAAATAAAAAAATAAATCCCAAACAGATCTTTTTATTTAACATAAGGCCAAAGAAGCTATCAGGCGTTGCTGAATACTGTCCACTAACTGTACAAAATATTGACTGCATGCCTCGCAAACACCAAAATATCCGCTGGAATGCCATAGAAATAAATAACTTCTGCTATAAACACATGAAAACATATCAAACTGTTATCTCTTTAAACATATTGTAAATAAAAAAATTACCAGTACTTCTACACAATAAATATTAAGAAACCATTGACATAGTTGAAATGCACTCATATAAATTAACAACTTTAATTACATTAGCCAAACAGACATTGGTTAAAGAACTGCATGTAGTATGCAAAAAAAAAAATAATAATAATAATAAAGGACCCACAAAATAAAAATAAAAACAAACAAACAAACATCAACCACAGAACATAAAGTTTTAAAACAAAACAGGCTTCAGATTATCTTGGCTTTCATAATTATATTTTTCTTTTAAAGAAAAATATCAACCCATTGTCAATGCACTGTTTTTCAAAGCATTTAAATAGAGGGTAAAACCCATTGAAAATTAATACAGAAGAAATGATTCACTTTATGCATAAAAATAAATAATAATATAGCTGAGACATGTGGTTTGCTTCTGCTCTTGAAGATGTGAACAGCTTCTTAGCATTCATTTTCTCTGACCCATACAATAGCTTCTCCGTAATACAGGGTTTAATTTAAACACATACAATGTCCACCCCCAAACCTTCTGCCCACATCTACAAGTTTCATTTATTATGTAGGTTTTCAGGGTGACTAAGTTTTTCTCTACATTGAAAAGGGAAGTTGCCAAAAGGCCCACAGGAACTCATATTTTCAAGGGAACATGATAATTTGAATCTATGTTTAATACAACTGAGACATATTTGCTCTGTTTTTTTTTAGAGTCACCTCCTAAAGTTCAATCCCACAAGAGCAGAAAAAAAATTTTACTTGCTCTACCTTTGAGGAGAATGCAAGGACTTGCCTTGAAAATGGAGTGTGGAATCAATCTTAAACATATGTGAAATTTGTTGGTCTTCTGAGACAAGAAAATCACAACTCGGTGTGCTAGAATTCACTTTACTTTTTTGGAAAAAAAAAAGAAAATTTCAATTCAGTCTACAAAATACTTATTTTTTCTTTAAGAGATATACTGAGGGCAAGTGCTTTTCCAAGCTTCTAGAATTAGTGTGGGCAAATATTTAGGAGCCTAGATATCAGCCCTAGAGAAGGAGTAGAGAGATAGTGGGATACAACACGGCCACCCTTCTATAAGGTAAAACCTACTGCCAAGAACCCAATATGACAGGAATTAAAAGCTGATCATTTTGGCCCCATATAGCTATGTAAAGAGCAGTGGTTCACAGGGCTTTGTATTATTAAAGATGGTAGCAATTCATAATTCTAACACAAGGCCATAAAAATTTAATGAAACAGGGTTAAAGTTTGTGGGTGTGTGACCAACCTATCATTTAATTTCTAATCCAAATATCGTCATATGGAATTTCATTTCACTCAGTTTTATATTGCTATGGCACTAATCAAACCCCTCTTACCACTAGGAGAGAAAGGAAGGACTTAACGAAATGGCAAATTCATTTGAGATGAATGGGAACCCCACATGGCTGCCTTTGCAAGTGCCTGTTCTTTCCTGTGGCCTTGACCATCTCTTAGCACAAGGTGAAGTAGGACTTATTTCCTCACACTGTGACCACAGGTTCCAGTATTAGTTCCAGTACCAAAGAAGCAGCAGTTTGAGGCCCTCCAAGATTTTCATAAAAACTGGTGAAGTTGAAATGCCATCTACTTCTTTCCCTAACTTCCCTCCCCATACCTACCTTCCCCACATGCATGATATCTAAGGTCAAAGGACCTTAATTAGAATCCACTAATGAGTTTCTCATGCAGTACATGTTCTTTCCTGCATAAGACAGGCAGGCCCCTAGAATGTGGTAAGTATATTTGCCCCAGTAATGAGGCAAATTTTCCTACACATAGCCTAATTTTATACTATACTGACAGTATAATTTTTAAGACAAGATAAACCACCTTTTGTAATATTTGGTTTCTCACTGATATTTCGTTTTCCTAAAACTCCTTTTTTAAAAATCTATGGATTGACATAAGGCTAAAAGCTTCAACATCTTACAAAATACTGATGAATGTAATTTTTCTCAATTAGAAATTTTTCCGATTTTTGCAAATGTTTGCAGTTTCAAACAAGTCAGTAAAAAGAAGGCTCTGTATTTTCATCAGCACATAAATGAATGACTTATTAGCTGTTCTAGGCAAGCAAAATACTGAATAAATTAGAAACTTAGCTTTAAGCAATACTTTGAGATTTATAAGACAAATATTTTTCCCTTTTTGCATCTGAATTGATACATACAAACTTACATATCGAGTTTTGAATGCAAATTAAATATTAGAAATTCATACTGCTGCCCTTATCCCAACTTTTTTTTTTAACCCTTCTCTTCCTTAACTCCCATTCTCTTATACATCTTCCTCCAAATTACTTAAGTACTAACATTACTTAATCTAGTGGGTGCAAGTAATATCTCTCAAAATCAGGCCTACACCATTAAAAAAAAAATGTACTCAACTCTTTTATTCTGGTCTACAGATTAATTTTTTTTCCGAAAAAGTTTCTGATTTAAGATTGATTCCAATAGATAATAAATAGAAATTGAAAAAAAATTAACCTACAGTTTTGATTAATATCCTGTTTTCCCCACAGGGGATAACTTGTAGGGGTGGTGGGGACAAGAAAGAGGAGGGAGTTTGATCCCTGTACATTTAAAGAGGGCCTTGCTGAATATTCACTGGAATTTCCAGACTTTTTCCCAACCAAATTTTTGAAATGTGCCCACCTAGTTCAGAGTAAAAGCAAAAACTATAGCCTATCCTTCTTAAAAATACTGTGTTTTGCACACAAACATTCATTGCTTTAAGAACATTAAAAAATGACAGCCTGAAGTGCTTAAAATGTGTATGGACATGGTACAATACATGTATATATACATACAGATATGCGTATGCACAAGCAATGTATATATACACATACAAGCATGTAGTCTCATGAATTTGAACTTGATATCCAACAGTGTACAACTACTGCACATCCAGTATGAAATGTCCTGTTTCATGGATGTAAAAGGAGTCAAAAACCAAACTTCTCAGGGCTTTTAAGCCTGAACACAATCCCCCCTTACTCAACCTTGAATCTCAACCCCTGACTCATTGATGGTAAATGATACCAACCACAGACAGACTGTTTAAAGGCTCACACAAATGTCTTTGGTGTATGTGTCTATTTTTTTAAGGTACAAAATAATAATAATAATTATAATTATAATAATAAAAATAGCTATTTTGTGTGCTGTAGCAGTTCTTTTATAGCTCACATTAAGTGCAGCTCTTAAACCCCACCCCCACCCCCACCCAAAGAAAATACTTGTTAAATAAGGATTAGACAGGTCAAACACCATTGTAGTGCAAATAGTAAACAATAAAAAAAAAAAAACAACATTTACAAAATATAGAAATGTTTGGATCCAACAGATGGACAAACATATTCCTTTCAAGTATCTCTCCTTGAAGAAAATAAAAATTAATCAGGTTACTTCCGATACAAAAAAGTCTCTCTTTTTGTTCTCTCTCAGGTAAACAGTTTCAAACCTATTAGGTTGCATAGTTCTAAGATCATAAGCACCTTAACGAAATGTAACTTGGTATTCTTTTTTCCTTGATCTTTCATTCTTCCCATTCTTGTTCTCAATTTTTTTTTTTAATGTTGGTTTTTTTGTTTTGTTTTGTCTTGTTGCGAAAGTGGTACAGAAAAAGAAAGTGTGACCACCTGCACACGCCTGTTCTTTTACTGGTATGTGTGTGTATGTGGTGTGTGGAAACGCCTGTGTGGGCATGTCTGGTGACATATGCAGACATAGTGTCACACAGACATGCATGTGACCTGGGTAGCTGGGTGGGACTGGCCCTTCCAAACTCATGGCTTTCTAGACATAATTTGGGTCATGCTAGTCCACAGTTACTGCAGACTAGACAAGGTGACTTGGAGCTCACAGGGGAACCGCAAGGGGGGGAGAGGACAATACCCGGTTAAACAACTGAGGTCATCAGTTTGATTTCAGAAGAAATGAAGGGTACACCCTTCTCCCTTTCCCTCCCAATTCCTGTCTCCTTCACTGCTTCATCTCTGAGCCCTGGCTAAGGATTTTTTTTTTTTTTCCCCACATCCTCCTTCATCTATTTCATCATGTTTTTAGTTTTTGTCTCTTTTTTTTTGTTCATTTTTTTTTTGTTTTTTGTTTTTTTGTTTGTTTTTTAATTTCTATTTTTTTCTGGTTGTTAAACTCAGAAACCTTAAATTTTTTTTTCTTCATTTTGCCACTGTCTTCTCTGGACAACCCTAGTTCCCTTTCCCCCCCCCGCCCCAGGGTGGGTGACTCTAGGAACACCCACACTCCTCCACGATCATGTTCTGAATGTCCTTTTTGATGATGTTTTGCCCATCGTCATAGTACAGCATGGACATGGGTCTCAGCTTGGTGGGCACACAGCAAGACTTGAGGTTGGCAAAGGGGCTGTGACCCCGCATGCGGTAGTGGTTGATGACTGTCGAGTGAAAGGACAGTGAGGACCCCGACGTGCCTGCTATGTGGCTCGGGCACTCACCCTCGCAGTAGTTGGCATGATAGCCCGAGGGAGCGATGATCCAGTCATTCCAGCCAATGTCCTTGAAGCTGACAAAGAACTGTTTCTTACAGCAGATGTTGACCTTGCCGTCACACTCCAGGCCCCGCCTTCGCCGGCGGTGAGGGTGGTCTTCTGACTGCCGAGCCTGCAGCATGAGGAAAGGTCTGTGTGACTGCTCCTTCTCCTCATCTGCTGCTCCTTCACCTCCATCCTTCTTCTTCCCATCCCCGTCCTCTTCTTTCTTCTTCTTCTTGCCCAGGAGCACCAGGCTGGCGCCGCTCTCCTGGCACTGCTCACAGGCAATCCGCACATCCAGGGAGCTCTTGCCCTGGTCCAGCAATCGCTGGATGCTGCTGGAGACAGGAAAGATGTGCCAGGTGCTCTTCCGAGCATCCACCACCTTCTCAGATAGCAACAGTTCACTCCTCTCCCCCTTTAAGCCTACTTCCTCGGCCTCATCCCCCGTGTCCAAGCTGCCCTGTGGGTGCTTCTGCTGCTGAAAGAGGCGGATGGTGACTTTGCTCCTGGTTCTGTTGGCCTTGGGGACTTTCAGGAAGAGCCAGATTTCCGCACGCTCCACCACAGACAGGTCGCTGCCTTCCTTGGAAATCTCAAAGTGCAGAGTCTTCCTGGCTGTGCCTGAAGACAAAACGCAGCACAAGATAGAACAGGAACAGTTGTTAATTCCAGTGTTTGCATCTACTCACTATTTTTCTAGGCAAGCAAGAGTCTTCTGCTACAGACGGTCTAACACAGGCGAGAGCAAATTGGACAGCCCATTGGCCAAATCCATTTCAGAGAGGCCCTCAAGATTGGTTTTTATATTCTTAAATGGTTGAAGAAAACTCATATTTTGTAACATGGGAAATTCAAACTTTAGTGCCCATAAATAAAGTTCTATGGCAACAGCTACACTCGTCTCTTTCTAAGTGGCTTAAGGCTACATTTGCACTATAATACAGAATTTAGTAGCTATAAGACTCTGGACCAAAAAACCTAAAATATTTGCCCTCTGGCCTCTGATGGAAAAAAAAAAAGTTTGCAATCCCTTGGTTTAGAATGAAGAGGGCCTGCTGTCCTGTGTCTATTGCCTCACTGCTTAATCTCAATTTCATCTTCTATGAAATGGGAATGACATAATGATATTTGACCTATCATCTCACAGGCTCAGAAGGACCAAGAAGGAGAACAAAATGAAAACACTCCACACACTCTAGAAAGCTATGGGAATATTCTCACATGAACAGGCTAACACCCTCTCCCCATCCCACAGTGTGGCTCAGTGTGGGCAGCACTTTGAGCTGGCCTCCCCTTCCCTGTCACCACCCTGCCCTCAATCCTCTATCACTTCAATCCTGGGGTCTTTCACTACAGCAGGCTTTTCTTTAAAGTGACCTCTGTAGGATCCAGTCAGGCTCTTCCTAGTCCTTTTTCCATTAAGCTGCTAAAGGATTCTTCCCCAAAGATGGATCTGATCACACCACCCCCTCTTTTGAGTCCTTTTCTGACTTCCTATAGCTCTCAGCATCCAAAGGCAACTGCCCAGGACTTTGAACTCTGTGTCAGCCTTCAACTCCAGCTCTTACCCAGCACCCTGCTCTCAGTGGTCCAGTTTCAAGGTATTTCCTTGAGGGGTGATGAATCCCATGCTGTGGCTCACCTGTAGGCAGTGATACCTGCTGTCCCTGCTGCCTAGATACTGCTGCCCCATCCCCAGCTCACTACCCTGAGTGGCTGATCTTAATAATGTTTCAGTTTTCAGATTGGACTACACTTCCTCAAAAGCTTTCCCTCTCATCTTCTTGGCCACCACCCTCTTGCCAGTCTAGTTTAGGATGCCTGAGGTCTGAGGTCTTATTTGATTATCTCATTCACTGCCATAATCTAGTGTTTAGTACAGAGTAGGCAATTTCTTGATCACTACTTAACAAATGGAGGCATTCTTAGCATTGAGTTCTATTAAAGTAAGAGCCACCTTCTACCTCTGAATCCTTCACTTTGCCTCTCTCCCTTTATAATGTAATAAATGAGCACCCAAAACATATTTCAAATGGGAATGACTGCTAACACAGGGGAAATCCTTGCATTGTCAGAATAGTAGATTCAGCAACCATTCAGTTCTAGCCTAACTCTAAAATTAGAAAGTCATCCATTTCCTTTTTTTTTTCATATGCACCTATATGTTTATTATGCAACACCATTTACTCCAAGAAGCAGGTGTTCTGACTAGAATCCTTTGATTAATCAAATATTTTCCCTTGCTTCCCTGTTTACCACTTGGTGGTGTATAGAAACAGGTCCTCTTTACCTGAGCATGGGCCTATTTACAACTGTCCACTGTACATGGATCCCAGGTACAAATCTGGGAGCAATCTTCAAGAAGTTCATCTTAGAAGTCACAACTCCCTAGGAGGATCTCCCTGCCTAGATTTCTATAGCTAACGGAAATCCAGCAGTACTTATCACTCGAGGCCCTGAGATGTTTACGGTACTATAAATTTCAGGCACAGTTTCAAGTTCTCTGCGGCAGAAGGCAGGCTTTTCTGTGCACTGCGCACTGTCGATTCTGTTCTTAATTTAACACGCTCTGCACACTGTGATTATGATAGTGGTAAATTCACTGAGGCAAGGGCCAAGAAGGGCTGCATATGGATATGAAGGGTTCTCTGGCATCTTTGTACAAACTTGCCACGATGATGATGGTGGTGGCACGGGAGTTCCTCTGACTCCAACCTCATGTATCTGGCAGGAGTTGAAATGAATAATAAAGCAGGGTTTGTGATTAGAGAGAACACCAGAGCAGGGAGCAGTTAGAGGGGGAAGCTGTCTTATTTTAGAAAGCATGATGACTTTTTTAAAAAATGTGAATCCTATATTACCCTTTGCTAAGAATTGATGGTGTTTTTGTTTTTGTTTTTAAGAAAGCAAACAATTAAGGGAGCTCATTTAATCTAAAATGGCAATCAGAAGCTGATTTTTAGGTGATAGGGTCCAATGGAGACCAGAAAGAAAGGCTGACAGAAATGTTCCCAGCCTCTGCTACTGCTCCAGAAGAACCTGCAGGTTCCTGCTCCTATGTGTGGGTACCTTGGCCCTACTTGGTGGAGAATATTGACAAGCTGCATGCTGCTTCCCCTTCTGCCTCTGTGCAGGACAGCTTCTGACATCCTAAGCTGGACAGAGTGTCACTCTACAGACAGAGAGATAGTAGCTACTAAAAGAAGCCAGAGGACATAAGTTTGTATATTGTTTTGCTAGGAAAGCAAACCTGACTAATGCCGTGGATGGGAAGGATCATTGGATTTCAGGTAACAGGTAACACATCCCCTCCACCCCAGGCTCTGCTCTGCCCTCATACATGCTTGACCTGGGAGAAGTGGGGAAGGGTGAAGGTGGCTGGATGGCTGTGATAATCCTCATGCTGAACTTTCCATGAATAAAATCCAGAGCCAGGCACAGAGGCTTGGGGTTGGGGGGATGAGGGAGGGTTAATTGGTCAACCCAAACAAGTGACAGCCACATGCAAACTGCTTTTGTAGGTCTGGGGAGGGCAAGGCCACGTGATGCCCATCACACAGCCCTGCAGGACTGCCCCTCGTTTCACAAGAGCAGGTTTCTAATGCACGATCTAGCCCCACCCCTTCTTCACAGGCAGCTGTACTTGGAAGCAAATGATTTAGTGTTCCTGAGAGAGGATTGTACAAAGAGAGTACTCATTAGAGGGGGCTCAATCTGTCAGGTGCTGTTATATTAGGATCAGAGAGTCATCATAAAATGACTTTCGCGCTGGTCTTGGCTGATAATTAACTGTATGGCATCGCCTGTGTGTTGTGGGGAAGCACGGGTGCTGATTTATGCATCAGTTTAATTATCTGAACTGAAAGACTGTTCCCTGTAGTTGCATCCACTGCCTGCCTGCTTTCTCTCTCCCCCATATTTCTGACATTTGGATTTTCCCCCTACTAATTGACATGCCTGTCGCCTCCTTCTCCTGGTGTCCATTTCTGGAACTGCTATTTGTATATTGCATGATATTTTATCAGGGAAAAAAATAAAACTGAGATCCAATTTCATGAAAATGCTGTTGCCATAATGCTCAGGAGGACAGGGGGAAGAGAGAGAGTCAAGTCTTCCTAATGTCTACCTCATATGCAGGTACATTTTACAGGTTCTATTGTATTCTGACTGATTAAGCAGTGCATATTTTTTTTTCTTTTACATTAGCTTTCATTGCAGAAGGGGGTGGGGAGAATGAGCTGGATAGAAGCTGACATGGAATTACTGTTTATCAAGACTGTCGGTTTCAGAAATCTATGACAACCCTTAGATTTCTTAGGGATGAAAAAATACAATAAATAGTCAATTTGTTATATTCCCTCTACGTCTATATTATCTGAGGGAGATTGCTGTACTGCAGTGTCGCTCTCAGGATGCCCCCAATCTGCAAATCTCTACGCATAACAATTTGAAAAATGGAAGAAGGTTGTCTAAGGCTGGGATGTTTAGGATCAATTTCTAATCAGTTTCAGGTTTGACTTAAATATCTGGTGCTGGAAAATCCTGAAATGGAAGCCTCCCATAATGCTTCGTGAGCAGGTATGACATGAGTTTGTATAGGTGTGCCCTGAGTTCCTACACTGTTTTCTAGCTATCCAGATATAGCTAGTTGCTTTGCTAACCTTTCATTACCTACTCTCTGATAATATTCTTTTCATCTTCTGTGCTATTTTTTTTCCCTCCCAAAGCTGGTGAGCAAGGTTTGTATCACAGCCTGCTCTGCCTGAGTAATTCACTAAGAAAGTCCCACGCAAACCCATGTGGGTGATAATATCTCATCACTGAAACCCCTGTGAGCTTGGTGGACATATCCCAAAGGGAGAGAAAAATGGTGCAGAAAACTGTGATCAATTTTGCACCTTACAGAGAATACCTTTGAAATGTTGCCTGGTGGGAGGGCTGGATGGAGGAAAGACTGCGTAAGCTGGAAGGAAAGGTGTTTGTAACACATTCTCCTTTGCTTTCAGAATTTTTCAATAACTCAATCATGAAGGCATGCCAAGGGTTAAGCTGGTGAGCCCCCTTGTTGTTCCCTTCCCCCACCTTAGAATGCAAAACGCTGCTCATCCAAAAGTCCAGCATCTCAGATTTGTGGGTGTCTGAACACTTCCAATTAAATAAGCAATACACACATGCAGTGTTTCGGTTTTGTTTTGTTTTGTTTTGCTCACCAGGGTCCTGCGTAAAGTATGCTACCCTTTTATATATGGGTAATAATTATGTCTCTAATGTTAATGTGGAAAGCCTTGCTGTTTATAGAGCTTATTTAACTCACCATGGGGGGAGGAAAGCCTTGCTGTAAAAAGCGTCTGTTACTTTAATTTTCCATTCTTCATCAAGGTTTCCCTGTGCCTAGATATGGCATAGTCAATGGCAGAGCATAGAGAGCTGCCATTTACAGCGTGTGTGTTCTCTAAGCACTAACTTTGCATCTGGACTGCTTCCAGGAGTTTCTGCAAAAGGCAGCAAGCAGGGTATTTAAGGGTTATTCCTCCTTTGACCTACAGTAGAGGATCCTGCCTGTAGAAGAACTATAGGTTTGGTTGTAAGTTATCTTGACTGACTGCTTTTACTTTTTAGTCTCAATTTCTCTCCTTGGAATCCACATTATTGTAAATGTTCAGTTACAAACATTCATTGCGTATGACTCTTCCACTTAAGTGGTAATAAGAAGGTTAAATATTGGGGGATATTGATGAGGGGGTCTTAGCTTCCTAAAAAAAAAAATTCTCAAGGGTCAACCTACCGTATTTTAGAGATTTCTAAAGTCCCTGAGAACTTTTATACTTTTGGTTTTGAACCCAAGAACCAATCGAGTATGAAGAATTCTGTACTACATACAGCTAAAGAGATCATGCTGAAGTATTTTTTAGCAGAAGAAGGGGCCAAAATAAATAAGTATTTTCAAGGAAAGTGCCTGGGAAGGCATTACTCCAATTCTTCAAATGTAAAACCTGAATTTCTACCCTGACATCTCCCCCCACCCCCATTCCTGCTCACCTACTGCACAGGCCGAAAACCACTATTAATCTCTTCCACATCTTCCCCCCCTCCATTCCTCTCCACACCCCCAGTTCGCATCCTCAGCAGCTGAACACCATGTTCCTACCAGGCGTTAAATAAATAGCCTTTTTCCTCCCTTTTCGAAGTCACTTGTCATTTGTCGCTGGTGAGAAGTGTTGATAAGTCAGGCAAACCAGGCAACAGAATCAGGGGAGATGGAAGATGTTTTTGTAAAACTCAGACGACCGTATTAGGGAGAGACTCGTGAGCAAATCAGTATCGTTGATGATTCATGGTCACATTTCTCCATGCTCTGCTTTGTTTGCTTTTGAAATTTATCACTCGTCTGCCTTCCATAGAGCTCCGGAATGTTCACATGTATCACTAGCATTCCCATTTCCTCGCCTTCTGTCTCTTTTAATGTATTACAGGTAGTCGTGTTTCTCCCATCTCATAAAATCCTAACTTTTTCAGCAGGATGAGAAGGGACAGGAAGTAATTGATAATCACCAAGATTAGGGTGCTACAGACTGGGGCTTCCAGTAGGCGCGACTGCCTTTCCCAGATGAACAGATGAAGACCAAAAGTCTTTGGAATGCGCCCTCTTGTGGCCAATCTTTCCCCATTATTCCGAGAAGAAAGTGTGTAACTCCTAAAGGTTCAGAGGTTCAAGCAGAGGAGTGATTCACAGGACAGCTCAGAAGACAGGTGGGGAATGGAAGGTTGGGAGTCAACTCCACTTTGAGATGTCTTTCCTGGGGTGGTGCTAGGGAAAATAGTCACCAAGGAAACCTGGGAAGACACCTGTTTGAGCAGTGTACACTTCTAACTCAAATCTACTGTAAGTGGCATCCTCCAAGAGGGGAGATTTATGTGCTGCTTTCAACAATGCCTATGCTAGGGGAGCATTATCCATTTCTTGATGTATCTTTTGTCTTTCCCCATCTTTCTAAAATAAGCGCTCTCAATTGCTAAGTTAATCATGAGAATCAGCATCTAGGTTTGGCAGCCTGTGGAAACCCAAGGGTATATTGTTATTGTATGTTGACTGACAGGCTACTGTCATGAATCAAGAGAAAGCAAAATGAGATATACCAAGCAAAAAGGTCTCTGCTTTAGTTTCATTGACAAAGTGGTAGTTGGCTTCATTTTACTCATCCCTACTGCCTTCCCTTCGAAGCCAGGACTTATATAAACATTGAGGATTTGGGGCCAGCCCTGCAAAGAACACACTAGCTTTGGGGAGCAATCCTGGGTGATAGCCATAATAAGAAAATCATTCTTATTTGTTGGGATAAATTTCAGAAAGCCTTAGAATGATCTCGCTGTTTAGCCAATAAGTCACATCATTTTTGAAAAGCTGAGCACAATGGAACAAATTCAGTTAAAAGAGTTCAAGGCACCTTCAGCTTTGTGATCTCTCCACTGCAGTGGTCATGCCTTGGCTTTATTAAACAATCAGGGGGGAAAAGGCCAAAATTAAATATGCCTCCCAAGACTGAGGAATATTGAGGTTGAAAGACATATCTATGGCACGCTCAAGGGTGACACTTATGTCTGAATTTTATTCTGTCCAAATAGTTATAAAGAAAAGTAAAGTGCATGCCCTCTTTATTCTCTAAGAACCAGGACGTTCCACATAGTCGGAATGTCATTAAAGTTGTATTATTCCAAAAGCAACAAGACATAGATCTTTGCCCATCATTTTTATATATTCACTACAAGTATTCAAATGACAAATGTGTTTCTTGGGTAGGCAAAATTGGCAACAAAATGCTTGCATGGTACAGTTTAGAGAATAGCAATATAAATTGCTATATTTCATATAGCAATCATAAAATCTGTGAAATTATATTAAATCAACTTGAAGTTGATGTCTATAACTTCTCAGAAGAGAAAAGTAAGCAATTGTACTAAGCCCTCCTGTAAGAATGCAAAGTCAAGATGTAAACTCAACCAGGAGAAGTTTCCCATTACAAACCTTAAACTTTAGTCAACATAAACTGCCTTTTTAAAAAGTAGCTCATTTTCTTCCAAACTAAACCCCAAACAGAGAAGTAAAAAATGACAAGATCCTATATAACTGAGAGATCGATTAGCACTGAGTCGAGGGCCATAAGTAAGAAAGAATGTAAATGGTACGATTCTTTCGCTGCCAAATCTCTAAATGCCAAGAGAGTGCTTTTCTGTACAAGTCCAGTAAGTCAGAAGGAGAGACATATTGCTAGCATGTACAGTTAAAAGTGATCAGAAGCATAGGTGTACTTAGCCTATCTGGTTAGAGCCAAGTGAGTAGAAGCTGCACCAAAGGCCGTCAGAGGTGGAGGTTGGCATATAAAAACCAACCTGGGTCCCTTCATACATAGCAAACCTCTAGACCACTGGAATTCATTCTACTGGCACAACCCAATTTCACAGTATTTTCTTTCCTTCATTTCCACAAGAAAAGCTTGAGGAAAATCAGGTGGTTAACTTGAAAACTCCAACCTGACTTTTTTCTCAATAAGTTTCAGAAGATAAAGTCACAATGCTTTGGGGGGGCTGCATCCAAAAAGAACTTTCAGGAAGTAAGTTGGATCTTCCTTAAACCACAGAGGCTTCAGGGGAGAGATCTAACCTGCCCAGGAAGCTTAGGGCCACTGAGGCTTCTTCCACAGGGGGAAACCATGAAACCTGCAGGCTATCCTTTCCCCCAAAAGGATGCTCTGGTCTCCCATGGCTTTCTTGAAAACAGAACATCTGAGTCAACAGGTTTTCAGGATTGGAAATTCTGAGTGTTGCCTTAATTGTTTATACTGCTGCGGCAAACTTTTAAACAAAATGCTGGGAGTCCCTGCACATACTTTACTGGCCATATGCTCTACCAAACAAAACAATGGCATTCCTTTCAAACGGATTTGGCAAGCGAGCTGATTCTTTAGCCTGGCATTACCATGAAAGCAACATGGTATTAACACATCTGTGTGCCCAGCGTGCAGGGGCTTGTAGGCATGCAAAAAGATCTGTGTCCTGTAACTATAAAAATAGCCTGGCTCCAAGTCCACCACCCATAGTTTTGACAGGTATTTTCTATTCAGCAACAGGTTACTGTGGTCTTGGGCCAACAATTAGAATCTATTTATTAAAGTTCTTCCTCTTAAGGATAGAGTGAGAGTTCACTGTAGTATCTGAGAGCACTTTGTCAAGGTTGCATTCCTTGGCAGAGAGTTCCTGGTAACTTTACAAAGAACAAAACTGGGTTTTTTGGGATTTTCTTTTGGCTTTTTTTTTTTTTTTTTTTTACAGAGAGCAAAAGTCAGTGCTCCAAAAGTGACTGCTGGTTCATTGTCAACTGTCCACTAAAGTAGCTTTTTACTGCCTAGTATGTGCTGTGCACTTGCAGACAGTTTCTAAAGGTAAAAATGACTGTCCCTAGTATGTATGTCCTGTGTCTCTCATGTGGCCCCAGATTGGACTTTCAAAGGAAAGGTGTGTTTTAGGTAATGACTTTATCTATGCCAATCTACTCTGATCCCCTGCAGTCTCGCATCCCACCCCCAATAAAAACTTTGGATGAGGACCTGAAGACAACTCTGTTTCCCCTAGCACCCGAAAATGCCCAGCTTTCATCTGACTGCTCAGATCTGGTTTCATAGGCAGGGCGAGGGAGCCCCTCTCAGATTGGCTTCTAGCTCCAGATTGGCCCAAGAGCTTCCTCCCTGTGTGACCGGCTGAGTTTAGCAAGTGTAAGCTAGTCATCTCCAGGCAGAGCTCACCCGATAATTCCATTTCTGTGGAGTCCTCTCCCACTCCTCCCCGTCTGCTAACAACTAATAACCTTCCCAGGCAGTTTTCAGCGGGAGAGAAAAGAAGTTCCTCCTAGGACTGCAAAAGAAATATATTTTACTGCCCCCGCCCTCACTCCCCCACCCCCACCCCCCGCAAATGCCAGCACCAACCTGATTCCGCAAACGTGATGATCTCCGAAGTCTGCTCCATAAGTTCATTCATTTCTGCCCTCCTTCCAATGTCGTCCTCAATCTCCACATACCCGTTCTCCCCCACTTTGCCCACATGAAGCTTTCTGATCGCGTTCAGAAGCGCCGCCTTGGGCACCGGCTGGGTGACATCGGGTCTCTTCTTCAAATGCAGCATGTTTAAAATGTGCTTCTTTACGGCCTCCACCATCTCTGGCTGAGAGTTGGGTACATCCTTTGGGAGGGTGGCCAGCGCACAGGACGGACAGTCGGGGGCTGCGCTGTGCCCCTCGGATCCTGGGGTGGGGGAACTCCTCACTATAATCCAGCAACTTGCCCACAGAAATCCTCTCAGCCAAAGCAAGGGCATCCTGGCAGGAAAAGTTGTTGTGATTGCCTTTTTTTTTTTAAAGGCCCTGTTTTTCCTCCCCCCTCACGCACAGGTTTTTTGGATTTTTTTTTTTTTCCTTCTCCTCTTCAGCAAATTCTCTGGAACAAGAGCAAAAAGTTTTCTGTGAAGTTTTGTTTGCAGGTTCCCTCTCTGAATGCAGTCAGTGCTGTAGGTTTGTGGCTGTCAGGGAGGAGAGTTCTGACTGTCTCCGAGTAAAAGAGAAGGAAGGAGGGAGGGAGGGAGAGAGGGAGGGAGGGAGAGAGGGAGGGAGGGAGGGAGAGACAGGGTGGGGGGGAGACAGAGACAGAGAGAGGATGGGAGGGAGAGAGACAGAGAGAGAGGAGAGAGGGGGACAGAAGAGAGAGGGAAAGGGGGGGAAAGGGAGAGAGAGGGAGAGAGAGAGAGGGAGACAGAGAGAGAGAGAGAGAGAGAGAGAACGATTGGCCCTAAGTGAGTGAGTGAATGGGAGAGGGAGGGAGTTTGTCTGTGAGTAAAGGCTGTGATTAGGGAGGGAGGGAGGGACAGCCCGTTTTTCTGACAGGCTGCTTTCCTTCTGCTGGTTGCTCCCTCTCACACACCTCTCTTCAAATATCACCATTCTCGGGGGTTCTACGTTCCCTCTACAATAAATTCTCCTCATTTTGTTCACTTCTTCTTATTATCTTTTTTTTTTCTTTCTTTCTCAGCCTAGTCCCCTTGCTTCACCTTCTTCCTTTTTTGGAGGGGGAAAAAAAAACCCAACCAAAGGCACTATCTCAATCCACAGGGATAGTTTGATTGGAAAAGTCTGCCCCCACAGCCCCTCCACTCCACCTCCACTGCCCTGGGTGATGACCCACCCACCTGGCTGAGGTGGGGCTGACAGGTAGCAGAGGTCAGGGGAGAGGGGCCCAGGGGCGAGCTACTGTGTGTTCTGCCCCAGGGAATCCAGAGTGGCTCCTTTTCCCCCATTCATTCATATTTAAATGTTCAGGGTCTTCAACCCCAGGCTGGCGATCTGAGGGAGCGCAACAGAACTTTTGTTTGGGGCCATAGAACATACTTTACTTTTCCCAACTGGGCAGTGTAGCAGGGCACAGAAAGAGCCAAAGGACAGGCAGCACTTAACATGTCTAAGTTCTAAGAAGCACTTTTCTCTCTTCTCTCTCTTGCTGCCCCCTTTCACAAATTACAGCCTACCACCTCTTGCCCCGACTTCACAGATAAAACACAAAATTCATTTGGCCTTTCCCACATTCTTTCATAAAAAGAGTGTACTGTATGACGTGAATAACTGGCCCTATGGGGAAAGAATCTCTAAAATATATTGGCAAATTATTTTTCTCTGTCATGTGATAGTTTTTTCAGCTTGTCCCCTGCCCAGTCCTGACCAGTACATTCATGGAGAGACTCCTCCACTGCTCTCTTTTCCCTCAAAGGAACAGCCTAGATGAAATCATCATGGATTTTAGTGCTCACAGAAAAAGAAAAATGTGCATGTTTAAACAATGCCTTTCTGAGGCTTTTTTTTACCCCCCCCCAACTCCTTTTTTTCATTTTCTGTCTTATTGCTTTTATCTTGCAGAAGTATCTTTAAGGGGTCCATCTGTTAAAGCTTTCCTTCCTTCTCGGTTTCTTTCCCACACATAAACCCTCTTGGTTTCTGTAGATACAGTCAGCTTATATCTGACACCTAGTGTGTTCAGAGCATTCTAGTCAAGCAAGGTAGCTTGGCTGGAAAAGAGTTAATAAGTATTACTTCACACATAAGATCTGAGTACAAGGGGGAGATAACGATAAAATTGTGACACTAAGTCAAAATTACAGTTTGCAGAGGTAACAGTGCTTTTCTGAATTGCACAGGCTGTCCCCTTTTCAAAAACAACTATTTGCAAGACTTTCTCTGTAGTAGGCTCTCTAACATCTTTGGGGTTTCAGCTCCAGGAACATTAATTGCTCTGCTATTGGGGATAAGACTTTGTCCACATTACCTAGAAGTCTCATGTTTTTTAGCAGGAGATGGTGAAAAGATGAGGGAAGAGGGGGGTATTTGCATTATAATGGTTTAATAAAACATCATTGTAGTCTAATATTTAACACTGCCCACCTATTTGGAGTCACAGATACAGTACCCAAAGCCTGTTGCAGCCCAATTAAGTTTTACAAGAGAGTCTGAAATAGAACTAAAAGTTTAATGACTCCAAACAACTCAAGAGACCTAATAGTGGCATTTAGATAAGTGCAACTTATCAATATTTGGATTCTCTCTGCATGTGAGTATGTGTGTGTTCCTTGAATTTACTGTTTGCAAATGTAACTCTTAAAAATAGCTTTCTCTTTGGCATATGTACTTGTATATATGTGCTGAGTGGGTTGTATAAACACATAATCTATTTGCATGCTCTAGGACTGTTAAAAGCTGTATTAACCTGCCTGAATAGAAAAAAAAATTAAAAAGGTACAGATTACAATGCCCAGGGAAGTGCCAATAAGTTGTAAAATTCTTCCTATCCATTCTGACTCAGAATGTGCAAAGAGCTCATAAGTAAGAAGGAAAAAGCATTACCTTTCTGGTCCCTTCTCTCTCACCAGCCGGCTCTTGTATCATGTGGTAAGAGCTGTCTGAGTTCCTCTTCATGGTATTGGCACTGTGAAGTTTTATACTGTACTACTTATTTGTACACTCACACATTGGTACCACTCTAACAGAGGAGGGCTGGGGCTTTGTTTGGGATTGGTTAGAATCAGAATGACATCAGCAGATGACTGGTTTTTCCAGTGTGAGACATTTCATAATTCATTATCTAATGGAAATCCCTCTTGGCTTCTGAGACACTACTAGGGTGATGCACTGAGCCAGTGAAACCTCTGGCTGTGACTAGTCTACCTTTTACAAAAATATTGGAATTAAATAGATCTCAACAAATGTCCAACTTTCAACTTTTACTACTCATACACACATGTCTCGTTATATTCAGGTTCAGTTTTATGTCTTTACATAAAACATCTGTTACTTTGTGAGGTTGTTTCTATTTACAGAGTATTTTATTGTCTTTTACAGGAAGAAAATTCACAGTGTTCTTTATAGGTATTGTAATTTAATTTTTTTAAAATAGCTATTTCATTGAGGGAAAATATGTATACCCATACGATGATGGTCTTGCCTCCCCTGACCCACACTATTATTTTACATCTTGAAATTGAATGCCTGCTTCATAAATCATTTATCACCAAGAACTTGGGAAATACTCATTCTCTGCAAATGAACTTCATAAGTATCCTTCCCAGGTCTTTAGAATCCCATTCTAACTAGGGAAAAAAAATCACACATCTTTTTTTTTTTTTAACCAGAACTTCAAGTCCTATGATTTCTAAATTGTTACAAATATAAAATGAGATTAATGAAAAGAGGCAAATGCTCCTTGAAACAGGGGTAAAGTTAGGTTTGGGAGGAAGGGCACTGGCAAGTCTCAAAAATAACACAGGAGGGGGGGAATCCTCAGACAAGTCTGATGAAGAAGGGTTGTTTGAAGGAGTATAACTGAAGCACAAGCAGGGTTCCCATGACAAGTTGGATAAAATGTGCAAAATTGGGAGCTAATGAAAGCCATGTGACCTGATATGTTGTTTTGTATGCAGGATTTAACATGCATAAAATAAACTTTTCACTGTGCCCACAAGCAAAATATAGAGGCTCTGGCCTCCTGATGTGTGTCTGAAGCAGGTTCCTTTAGGACACCAGGAGTTTTCTGTGTGAGAGGGTCTCTCTTGGCTAGATACAGAGAAAGTGTGGGTGCTAGCTGTATGTGGAGGAGGAGGGGAGAAAAGTATTCTAAGAACTGAATATGCAGAACTGAAGTAGGAAATAAAGTCATTCGGTTGTAGAGGAAGAGAGGGGATCTGAGTGGCAATGACAGAAACAGGATCAATGATGATGAATTCCACGTCTGCCCTTCAGTGTAGAGTGGGATGAACTGAAACCCCTTATAAGAAAGGAACTTCCCCATTTTGGTGGGAGGGGGAGGTGATACTGAGTAGAGATCAATGGCATCCAGTGCATCTAAGCTCACCCCCTGGCAGATGCATGAATCCTGTTGTGCTAAGTACCACCATACCCCCCCCCCCAAAAAAAAATAGTGTGGAGGCCCGAGAGGAACCCAGATCAGACCGCAGTTCCAATGCTCCCTCATCAGGTAAACTCAGGCCTTAGCGTTCCCATCTATGAAATGGGATTCATATTACTAAACTGCAGGGTCAAGCCCAGTGCTCAGAAAATAATAAGTGATGTTCTCAATAAGACTGGAGGTTCATTTGAAACATCTGTGTCATAGGACCCTGAGGCCATGCCATATATGTGGCTCTGAAACCACCTTGGCCATCTAATGCCACCTAGCAGCTCTGATGTCATTCTCTACCTGGATCCCAACCTCAGAGCTAAACCACAGTGGAAAAGCCTCCTCACTCAGTACAAATCAAGGTGGGGGTGGTAGTGGAAGCAGGCAGGTTAAAATAGCTTCTGTGGAATATTCTGGACTAGGAATTAGCTTTTCCCTGCCAAACTCAAGGGCCCAGGGCATGAGCTGGTCAGCTCAGTTCCTGACAAGAATCTCCTTTTCCTTCCTCGGTTTGGTTTCTCTTTCACTTCCTGCCCCCTCCCCCAGAGTTTCCCCACACCCCAGGCCCTTCGGGTCCCGGCTTCTCGGCCCTGCTACTGTACCTTGAGCAACACCTGCTGGCAGCTTCCAGGGATCACGCCGGAACGCGCTGCTCGAGCCCAGCTCGCGGGATGCCTGGAGTCAGGGCCAAGCCGTTCCAAGCGGCCGCCTCTATTTTTACCCTGAGCACCAGCAAGGGCAACTTCTTTTAAGAGCAGCTCTTGATTTTTCCCCCCTTTTGGCAGCTAAAGAATTCAGGGAGGAAAAAAAAAAATCACTGTTCAGTGAGTGCAGCTGGGAATCTCTGAACCCAGCCCTCAGTGCCAGGGACTGTAACCACAGCAAATGTCAGGGACCAAGACCTGCAGTGGGGCCGGCGGGCTCCCCAGCGGACAGAGGCGAGCTGGGGAGCGCTCACACACCCGCACCCGCACCCGCAAACTGGCCCCTTTCTCAGTGTGGAGTTCGGTCCTAGCAGCTACTGCACTAGCAGAGTGGCCCGCTGCCACCGCGTTATTCACCTAGCGGAGGCGGTCTGATTTACTGGCTACTTCACAAAGCTCCCAACTCCACGCTGGAGCATTTGCATGGCTCTGTGCTCGCCTCGAAGAGCAGCCACTAGCGAACCCGGTGGAGCAGCTTGCTGCGAGAAGGAGCCGGGAGGGAAACTGGTACCTTATTTTACTGTAATTGCAAAAGGAAAGATGTGCCAGAGATTTATATTTAGAAGTTGTATGTTTCTACTTTTATGTAAATGGAGCAATTAGGGCCTGTCTTGCTGCTGCTAACTCCAATGCTTGTGCATTGCTGGGGAGCTGGTGTTTTCAATCACAATTAGCGAGCTGGTCAAAAAACAAAGTTCGTTTGAGGATAAGAGCTCAATTGTGTGCATGGGGGAGAGACCTGCATCCCGGTGCTGGCCTGTGGCTTGCGGTGGGTGACACATACCTTAGGGGCATGGCTAACCCTGTACTGTAGTGGTGTTTACCCGTGGCAGCAGCTGTCCCCATACAAAGTTGGCATAGATCAAGAAGCAAGAATGTTCACTTTTCTTCTTAAGCAAACCGTATGTCCTTCGGCTTCCATCCAGGCTATTAATTGGTCTCTTTCCTCACTACTCCTGGAACAAGGAGACAGGCCTGGAAAAGGGGGGCATTTTTCATGGCCCTGTTATTTTAGCTGCTGCTCACGGATTGCTGTGATTCAGTCAAAAAAAAAAAATGCAAGCCAGGAGATGTGAACACCCCAAGCAGGTGACTGGGAAGTTGTCCTCTGATTCAGCTAAGTGACACAAGGCTGGGGGTTCAGAGGCTGCTGACGAGTCAGGGTGTTTTAGTTCCTTCCTATGGAAAAATCTGTTTCCAAAGAAGCATGATTTCTGCTTCATCCCGTCTGGGAAACTGAACATAAAACGTGACTATGGAGAGAAATCAAAAGGACTGGCGAGGTGTTCTTAGCAGCTGAGTTATTCTGGGCTCAGGCAGGAAAACCTGGCCTGGTTGGTGAGTGGTGACTCCCTCAGAGAAGCAGCGCAGTATCCAGAAAACGTGGGGAGGATCCAGAATGGTATTTGCTGCAGTAGATTGCGGGAGTTGGTGCCTAAGGGTTTCATCAAATAGTTTAAATTGAATATGGGACTGGCAAACCCTGCCTGTTTCCTGGACAGTGTGCCTGAACATAGCTTGGACTGAATGTTAGGAAGAAAGATTTGGGACAAAGATGGATTAGCATTTCACAGTCAAAATTAAACTGGGAAGCTGTTTTGCCTTTAATTTAAATCACTGAATGAATAGTTGAAAACCAGGAGAGAAGGAAACGTTAAAATTCCTTCCAAATCCATCCAGAACAAGAAGGTTAGAAATGGTTAATCCAAAACTCAGTTCCTAAGCCTCACATTTTTTTTCTCAGAATCACCAGAATATCCCACAAGGCCTTGTGTTCTGTAAGAGCACCTATTCTCAAAGTATTTGGGAATGCACTTGTCTGAAGGGTCTGGGGCAGGGAGGGTTAGAGAGGATGTACCAGATGCTCAAACTAAAACAATTAGGAAAAGAAAAAAAGAACAACTATCCAATAAGTAAACTGTTATTCTTCATCCCAGAGTAGTGGTTTCCTACTGGGTGATTTTGCTCCCCAGCAGACATTTGACAACATTGGAAGGCATTTTTGGTTCTCACAACTGGTAGGGAGGTGCTACTGGCATCTAGTGGGTAGAGGCCAGGGATGCTGCTAAACATTCTGCATTGCACAGAACAGTTCCCACAACAGAGGAATGATCTGGCCCAAATGTCAATTGTTCTGCAGTTGAGAAATCCTGATTTAGAGTGATAAAGTTTTATCTAATTTCCTTTCCATCCATGCTGCAAGAGGTTTTGGAAATCCAACTTGTAACACTCAAAAATATTACAGCTATGCAAAATATTAATAGTTCAAGTGATTCTGCTTTCTCATGCAAATGTGCTGTCTGACCTCTGGAAACCCACACCAGACTACCAATACCAGAGTTCCTCACCGCACATTGTTAATCCAACCAACTTTCTTGTATGGCCTCAAATGCATTTCCTGCTTTGGTTAAAAACCCCAAGTAGGATCTTGGTGATCAGCAACAAAGTAAGATGAGCTGGCCCACTCCTAAGTTGTTAGGAGGCAACGGACTCATGAAAAAGAGTAAATGAATGGAGAATTGGTTGTTCATTTTATCAATTCAGTATCAGATAAATCCATGCAACAGAGAATTCCCTGAAGTCAAATTCACAAGCATGAGACTACCATGCCTTTCTCTCAATCAAATAAATAAATATAAAAAAACCAACAAAATAAATATATATGATATAGCTTGATTTTATTTGTTTAATACCTTAGGGGAATGACAGACAATCAATATCTGAAGAGATAAAGCAGAGGGCTTGGCTAAATCCTAATGCTTGTTCCAAGGAACATTATATTCTCTAACCTTCCTTTTCATAAGGAAGTGGTGGGTTTTAAAGGAAAGCCATGCTCCTCCAGGTGTTGCTCTCCTGAGAGGACTGGGAAGATATAGAGAAGAATCCCTCATCACAGAAAATAATAATAACCAACAAATGGTGAAACTCACAAAAGGGAAGTTTCCTGGATCAAACTAGCTTTCATGTGAAATGCTATTGTGCAGCTGACGAGGACTAACTTCCCTGGTTCATGGCTTAGCTCCTGAGTAACTTGGGTCATGCAGAAAGGAGAAGGTAGGTCAGAGTTCATTTTAAGATGAAGAGAGCCACAAGGGGAACATCTTAGATACTCCGACGCTTTGTCATCTCCTCCAAGATATGATTCACAGTCTCCTCAGGTAAATGGTCATTTTGGAACCAAAGGCTTCAATCAACTTCCATATGATTCAGAAATGCCTGGATTTCTTCCCAAGAAGCAACCATTTAGTACATACGAAAAACTCAATATTGAGTAAAATAATCAATAATCACTTACAATCTCTATAGAGAATTATATATTGAATAAAAGCCACACACACACAAACACACACCCCCCCACACACACACACACACTAACTTCAACTGAATAAAAATGCTCTCAAAATTCTTCTTAACCAACATGTATTTCTAAATTGTTTGTCATAACTCACTTCTAACCCAATCAGGAAACATCTGCTACAGCAATTGATCTTCTTATTTCCCCAGAAGACTATTGAAAAATACTCCCCAAGGAACGTATAACAGATTGTCATAATCATTTTTCTCACCTGGATCCCCTCGGGTAATAAGTTCCATGTTGATGATTTGAGAACACAGAGGTTTAGCATATAGATTCCATTGGATTGATAAGAGCAGAGATCTTGATTTTAATCCAGTTTTGCTTATCCACAAAGATACCCCCACGACCTCTTCCCAAATTATAGCTTTGGAGGGTAAAAGCCAACGGAAAAGCCTGAGTGCCGCCCTATGTTTGTGTGTGTGTGTGTGTGTGTGTGTGTTTTATCAGTATGCTGCCTCCCTCATGTCCTAATAGAGTCCAAAGGTCCTACCCCTCTGTGGGAGCAGCTCACAGGCACGTCCAGGCCAGCAAGAGCAGAGTGCCACTGTCCACGGGCATTGTGTACTCTCATGAACGTACACTGACCGGGCATTCTGGCAACAGCTCAGCTCAATTAGTAAATATTTCCAGGTGTTCCACTCTAATTTTAGGAAGGTCAAGTTTGCAAAGGTGAAATAGCAAGCAGGACTTCTCTCAGTCTCAATTGACGTGGAAAAGCAAACTGTAAGTACGATATTTTGGGGGAATTTCACTGGAATCATTGAATTCTACAACTAGCCTTAAACTTTCAAGAAATAATCTGACCACAGTCCTTTGTCATAGATGGATTGAGCTGCTCTTGAAATATGGAATAGAATGATAAATGAAAGAAGAGGCATTATATTAGAAGGAAAAAAATTTCCAGCAAATCTCTCCCAAAGTCCAGGGGTTAATTCGTGATCACTTAATGAAATGGGGGAGGTAAGCCAATATATTAATTATGGCCAACTTCAACATCATTTAGTTATGAAATGAGAATAATTAAAATGGTGCTCCCTGTAGAAAAGAGTTCAACCAATAAGTTCCTCAACTTTCAAGGAGGTTTTGTTTTATTAGATGCTGCTAGCTTCATGTTAGTCACAGGGAAAAAAAAAATGCCCACATACACACGCACGACTAAATGCAGTCAGTTTGCTCAGCTGCTGCTGACGTCACTGCTGCCCACTAGGAGTGAGTTACTGTAATAACCCCCTTTTATTAATCATAGGCTGGAGGAAGCACAAAGTGGGTGACATCATTAGGCAAAGGACCGGCTAACTCATGCTCCAATTTACTCAGTTTTATTATAACATTTCTCAAGTGTCATATGAAAGTGATTACCATTTCACACTTTCCCCCTCTGAGCAATCATCCCTAACCTTCAATTCAAACTCCCAGAGAAAAGCTTAGCTTTTCAGATGCAGACATGGAAGGGCCAAATCTCACTAAGGGTCCTGTTCCAGGAAGGAATGTCCTCCTACAAATAGCTTCTTGCTGAGCTTGAGATGGAGGCAGTTTCTAGAATGAGAGCATCTCAGATGACTCTGGGTTCTCTCTAATCCTGGTGGTGACATCTGATTGGAGAAGACAGCCATCATAAAGAGGACCTTGAGGGTCCAGATGGGCACTGCCTTGCATGGCCTCATGGTCTTTGCATGGCTCTGCACACTTGGGCTTTGAAATGTAAAGACTCCATTTGTAGTTGTAGTAAAAGGTTGTGGTTAATAGTATGGGTCTTATAGTTAGATAACCTGGATTCAAATTCAAGATTCACCACTTTCAAACTGGAGGATGCTAAGTGAATAACTGTACCTCTCAGCGGCTCGGTTCCCGATTAGTAAATGCTGATAGTAATGCACCTCCCTCACGGATAGGATTGTTGTGAGGCATAAATGAATTAATACATGTAAGGCTTATAGAATGTGCCAGTAAATATTGCTCACTGGCATTATTTCTGTTCTTTTACTTAAAAAGTTTTGCTGGCTGATCTGAACTTTCTGTGTCTAGCATTGTAGTGCTCTGGAGAGATGCACACACATTCTGTGACTAGCCACCAGGGTAGACTGGTGTGGGGGACACCCAGTCACACACTCAGCTATGTCACTGGTTGAAAGTTGTAAGTCAGCCTACCTCTTTGTGGTCCTGTTTCCCACCTACTACTAATTATGAAGAACTTATGAAAACTGAAAGAGGCACACTATTACAATCAAAAAAAGACACTGACTCAAAGATTCTCAAGAGCTCAGCTTCTTGTTATTGTCATTTCTTTTTAAACAGACAAAATTGTTGGGCCATTTGATAGTGAATATATATATATATATATAAATGCATATATATACATATATAGTATATATATATATATATATATATATATATATATATATATATATATATATATGAAAAGGTGTGTCTCCATAATATTATATGCATCAGGAAAAATAAATGTTTTTACCACAGTCAGAGCTGTGCTTCATCCTTTTAAACCAGCATCTTGGGGCCCTTACAGAGCCATTTTATAGATGTATTCACTCATCCCCTTTTTTGCAGTCCCATCCTGAGGGTATTTTAAAGAGTCAAAATAAAGCTTACTTAGGCATGCATGAGAGACACAATGAGAAGACCAAAAGAGAAGGCTGTGGCTTTGTAATATTTAGATAATGATGAAACTCAGCTATTGCAGAATGCAGTAATTATATAGGATAATTTATTACTTAGGTTCACCTTTGCTCTGTATTGAATTATAAACACTTGACTAGGAGGCAGGTTTGGCTTCCAGAATGATATGCTGGTGCAGGAAAGAACTGCCAGACCATGTAACATAGTAAATAAAATAATAATACATAGCAACTTTAAGATCTTCAGATTGGAAGCTTCCTTCAAGTGACAAAGAATGCCAAGATATCTGCTGCCCCTAACTGGTACCATGAAGAATAGCACACATTTTTTTTTTTTTTTTTTTAAGTAGCATAGGAGAGATCTCAGGTACAGTTACTTGTTGGTAGCTAAATCAGCCCCTTGGGTTGCATTTGTGAAACTGGTCGTTTCCATGAAACTTTTTGTGGCTGCTAAGGCAAAGTCTTCGAGTATATCCATATTTTGCTCCGGTCTTTTCCAGATGCAGAGATACTTCTGAATTCCAGCAGCTGCCTACGTGGAACCAGGGCAAAGGGTTTCTCAAGCACAAATCATTAACACAGAGTGTTTGTTAATACTACCACTGGAGGAAGCTTTCACAAGGCTACTTAAAACTACGTAATCCTTTTATGAATATTTCTGAAAGACCTGGAAAATTTGACCACCAGGGAAAGTGAATCCTACTGACTTGTAGAATATTCCAGACCTGCCAGGTGATTGATCTATTATGCTAGTGGGAAGAGGCAGAGGCTCCCTCTTCTGGTGCCTCTGGATAGAAGGAAACCCTATAAAGATAGCGAGGAGGGGCACCTTTTCTTCATCTAGCCACTCCTGATCCCCAGATCATTGCTTTTAGATAACATGCATCCTCATTTTAAAAGTAATACTTATTCTTTATAAAATATAGAAAATGTTTGAAAATTTAAAAAATATAAATCACATGTGATCATCTTATTCAGAAATAACTATTAAAATTTTGGTGTATGTGTAAAACAAAATTGCAATTGAATTGTAATTTTGTAAAATGATATTTTTCACCCATCATTATATGTTGTGTACTATCAATGGCCAAATTAGTTCTTGAAAACAATGACTGGGCAGTAATCTATCAAGTAAATTGCTTATTTTTAAACCCATTTACTATTTTTTTTCCATTTACTATTTTTTGGTGGGGGGAATACTTTTTTTTTTAACCCCTGAACTATATTCCCAGATCTTTTTATTTCTTTTTGATTTTGAGACAGGGTGTAGGTAAATTGCTAAAGTCGTCCTTGAACTTGCCATCCTCCTACCTTAGCCTCCTTAGTTGCTGGGATTACAGATACGCACCACTCACATAGATAAACCAGTCTACTATTGTATTTTAAAGTTATTTTCAAAACTTTGTAATGATTACTAATATCCAGACATCTTTTTTACGTTTTTCAGTGCATCTCTGGTTACTTCCTTGATTTAAATTCCGAGAAGTTGTATAATGAATCTAAGAACATAAACATATTTAAGATCCATATACATCATATACATATATATATATATAACTTTATTTATATATATAAACTGCCCTCTGAACAGTTTTTAACTGTTTACATTCTAACTAATATTATAAGGGCCATGTTTTATCTTTGATATTATCATAGTTCCCCCACTCTCCTTTCAGGCCAAATTTGGTATACATTTTGTTTCAATCTGGGTTTTTAAATTATTAGTTAAGAATAAACATTTCATTGCCCATTTGCACAAATTTCTTTTGAGTCATTCTTCATGTCATATACTGTGTGTGTGTGTGTGTGTGTGTGTGTGTGATACTGAGAATAGAAGCTAGTGGTACTCTACCACTCAGCTACATTCCTAGCCCCTTTTTAATTTTATTTTTGAAACAGGATCTCACTAATTTGCTGAGGCTGGCCTTGAACTTGCAATCCTCCGGCCTCAGCCTCCTGAGTTGCTGGGATTATAGGCATGTGATGACTATTTACATTTTAAATAGTATTTCATTACATAAATAAATTTGTATGAATATGTCTTACTGTGATTTTTTTCCCATTTTTCATTTGCCTATAACTTTTGTTTACAGTGTTTAAACTCAAAATAGAGCTTACATTTTTACATAGACCATTCTAGGAATATATATATATATTTTTTTATGCTGAGGTTTCCCCATTAGGAAATCAAATGTATATTCATCTCTATTTCTTCAAAGTATGATGTTTTACTTTTTAGTGCAAAATATATGAAATATAGTTTAATAAACAGAAAAAAGAAAAGCTATATATACACTTCTTAAAATTTTAAAAAATTATTTTCTAAAGACTGAATAAGCACCACTTAGGGAATTTTCTTTTGGGAAGGTATTTTTATCACTTATTGAATATGCACAAATATGATCCCCATACTTTGTTCTGCTGATCAGGTGTCTGTTGCTAAGCTTTCTGTCTAATTCCATGTACATTTTTCCAGTTCTAATGTTGTTCTTTTAATTGTAGTTTTATATATCTCAGATCTTTTTGTGTATCTGACTCAAGTTTACATACAGCAGCTATCTTGATTAAAATAGTGTTCCCTAGTCCCAGGACTTTATAACAACTGTAGATAATTCTAGGTTTCTCTACCTGTAGCTACTTAAAGTTTGTCATTTAATGACAGTATATCATTAAACAGTATTTATTTTTCATTAAAGTGGATTTTTATGATTATAATGATGATAGTTGTTCATTTTTAAAATACAAGCACTATGGGGGCTAAAAGAAGAAAAGGAAGAGAGAGAGAGCAGGAAGGAGGGAAGAAACATAGGTAGGTTAGTTCCCTAGAATTTACCTATCCAGAGAAAATGGGAGACATAGTTAATGTCCTTCAGAAATGGAGAGAACATTCTTCATCTCCCAAAATTCTACTGAAATTTTAAAAATTATGGCTGTAACTAATAATGGGGTTCATTTTGACATAGTCATAAATGTATATAGTTTACTCATTCTCAATCCCTAGTACTCCTCCTTTCTTACCCCTCCTCCCTCCCTCAGATCCCCTTCCTCAATTCTACTGGTTCTGACAGTGTTTTTATCTCTTTTTAAAGTTTTCTTGAATGTGTAAGCAAATTGTTGGTTTAAAACTTCTTCAGTTTTTGAGTATGCACTTTAGCTTTCTTTGCTATTTGGTTTAGCTCTCTTATTTTTTTTGTGTGTGTTAGTTGCAGGATATATGCATAAGGTCTTTGTTGGCATTATATTTATTTTCTATTAACTAGTTTTTAATAGAATAATACACTCTGCCCACCAAAAAGTATTCTACCTCTCTGAATACCATTTAAACCTTGTATTAGCTCTTCAGTTGGAGGACCAAATACTAATGGCTTCTTGAGACTCAAAAAAAGAGCTGAGACCAAGGGCAGGAGCTCCCAAGTGACCTGAGTGGTCAGGGTCTATACAGCCAAGTTGTGAACACAGCCTTTTCTACTAGGGGAATATCCTGTAGGTCTTGGCTCCTCGCCTGGCTTTGAAATTAACTGGGTCCAAAAGATGCTGAAGTCTACAACCCATTTCTTTTGAACTGCTATGTGTGCTTTATTTTACATTATCCCCCATATTTACGGCTCTTGTGCCTCATTTTCTTTTCTCAACTTGTGACAAGTCCTTCTTTCCTCCATCCCTAGAGATAAGCCTGTACCTCCATTAACAAAACGTACTGAGGGAGAACTAAGTTGACCGCGTGCACTCCAGGCAGGGCAGATGCTTACATCTGGCTTGTGTTCTAATCTTTGGGTCTTTCCACCTGCAGCTGCCATTCTATGGGTTGTAGCCTTCTATTGGCTGGCTGTTCCCCTCTTGCTTTTCCCTTCTCTTATAGTAGCCCCGACACTGTTCAAGCTCCTCTGGTGGCTGTCTGCTCCCATACAGGCCTTGTCTGCCCAGAGTCAACCACATACAGCTCTTGGTTGGTGTGTTCTCCTCCTGGGTCCTCCTCTTGAGTAGAAATGAGACAGTCCTATGCCCTACCCTTCCCTACAACAGAGACTGTATTTGGTCCATGGAAAACATACATTTCTCTGGTCCCCCATTGGTGCAAGATGGTTTATTCACAAACATAATCCTCTCCTTTTTTTTCTCTACCTTGCCATAGACCAATGTATATTTTATCAGGTAGGAGTCAGACATCAATATGTAGCTCTTCTCAACTGCAGGGGTCACTGTTGGGACTATGTTCTGCCACTCAAGTTGAAGATTAACTGTGCCAGCTTGATAGAACTGGGGCTCACACAAGGCAGATGCATTTACTGGAAGCATCTTACAAAACCTTTCTCTGTACACTCTCATGATCTTTTATATAACCCTCACTCTGGCATCTCTGATAGCTATCTGGTATCTCAGCCCCTGAGTTAGAATTTCAATCTTAAAACACCATAGACTAAGAATATTAATTTCCTATTATTGCTTGAGTAACATTGAGACTTAACTATTGATTTGAAAGAATCATCATTTGGGGGTTTATTTCTCACAGTACCCCATGCCTTCCTGGGAAACAGTAGAGTTTGAGAGGATTCAAAACTTAAAGACGGTCTCATATTTAAGAGGTGAGTGGAAGAAGAGAAACCCATGAAGAATTTTGAGAGGGATCCAGATATGGAAGAGAAAATGGGATAGGCAGCATTGTCAAGGAAACCAAGAAAAGTGAGAATTTTGAGGTGTCAGATGAAGCAGGGTAATCATTAAGACACACAAAAAAAGTTTAACAGATTTGACAATATTCAGACCAGTGCCAGTTTTGGCCTGCCTGAGGCCAGAACTTTGTGATTCTAGGCAAATTTCAGTGGGAAGAAAAGGAGATGAGATGCCTAAAGGGATTCAGTTTGATAGAACACTCTTCGAAAAGTTCTAAAGAAATGGAATAATGACTAGAGATGGGGACATTGCGGATTGGAAATGAATCTTTTATTTTAAGATACAAGAAAGATGAGTCGGACACAGTGGTGCTTGTCTGTAATCCCAGAAGCTTGGGAAGCTAAAACAGCAGGATCATGATTTCAAATCCAGCCTCAGAAAAAGCAAGGCACTAAGCAACTCAGTGAGACACTGTTTATAAATAAAATACAAAATAGGGCTGGGGATGTGGCTCAGCAGTCGAGTGTCCCTGAGTTCAATCCCAGTTACTCCACTCCCCCCACCCCCGCAAAAAAAAAAGTTGAACATTTTTCTCTTTTGAGAGAAATAAGCAAATAAAGAAGGATAGCTTCAAGATACAAGAGCAGGGAGAGAAGCAAATTTCCTGCAGTACTAACAAATGATGAACTGGTAATCCCACCTGCTCGGGAGGCTGAAGCAGGAATATCAGGAGTTCAAAGCCAGCCTTAGCAATGGCGAGGGACTAAAGCAACTCACTGAGACCCTGTCTCTAAATAAGATATAAAATGGGGCTGAGGATATGGCTCAGTGGTCGAGTGTCCCCAAGTTCAATCCCCAGTATCCCCCAAAATGATGGACTCATTTTTTTCAAACCATTACTGACCCCCTCCATCACTGCCATTCCACCATCCCAATTGACTTAAATTCACCACCATATTGAATTATTACAATATGCTCCTAGCATATTTTCTACTTCCATTCTTATCCTCACAGGGTATTCAGGACTCAAAATGACACTTCTAAATTATAAGCCAGGTAAGGTCTTTCCTCTATAATCATACCCTTTCATGGTTTCAAAATCCTCGCCATGGTAGAATTGGGTTAGTTGATCTAGGTATGTCCTTGACCATATCTTCTTCTCTGTTACTCTTTGCTTTCTTTATTCCCACATGGGTCTCCTCCAATACACAATCCTATGCATGCCTCAAGCCTCTGCAACTCTTTTCCTCTCCTAGGTACTCCTCACCAGGTACCCCATAGCTCTCTCTGATTTTCTTGTCAGCTAACTCCATAAGGTCTTCTTGGATCCATCAGTATAAAATAGCAACTAACAACAATCTCGCATATCCTAATATATTACCTGTTCTATTTTTCTACATTATACTTATCACTGTCTTAAATATTTATTTATTGTCTACTTGACAACTGTAAAATAAGGATAAAAATTTTTGTTAACAGCTAAATCTCAGCACCTAAAATGTAGCATGTAATAGAGGCTCAAAATATTTGTTAGCTAGTGAATGAATTCTAAGCATGGGTTAAAGGAGATAAAAAGTCATATAGAAACATTATTATAATTGTCAGAGGACATGATGAGAGTTTTCATCCATTATCATTAAGAAAAAAAGTAAGTTCACCTGCTGAGAGAAATGCAAAGGGGGTAAATGTGATGGGGTAGGAGATATGCAAAGACAGCTGGAAATTTTATCATGGTGGCAGAAGGAGTAGAAGCTTGCTATGGTTAGATCTGGAATGTCGCCACCCCCAAAATGTTGCATGTGTTGAAGGCTTTGTCCCCAGCCCATGGTGCTATTAGGAGGTGGTGGAACCTTCAGGAGTATGGCCTACTGGAAGCAAGTTAGGTCCCTGGAAGGACATATGTGGACCCTGGCCCCTCCTTTTCCTCTCTCTCTTTGCTTTCTGGCCAAGAGAGGTGAGCAACGTGCTCCACGATGTGCTTCCTGCCATGTTGTACTGTGCTGCCACAGGCCCAAAGGCAATGGTACTAAGCAGCAATGGATGAAAACCTTTGAAACCATGAGCCACAGTAAGCCCCTCCTCCTTCTAAGTTGATTAGCTCAAGTATTTTGTCCGCAGTGATGGAAAGCTGGCAAACACAGAGAAGAAGCTAATTCAGAAGAGCTCCAGGTACTCATAAAGACCACTGAAAGCAGATGCACTGAAGTTGTTCCATCTCATCCAGCAATGTTTTTATCCCAAGATGTACAGGGGAGAAAGTCAAATGCTTAGATAAAGGATTGAAAGTAGAACTTTCTTTCATGATGAAAATGTCCAATAATCTGTGCTGTGCAATTGAGCAGGCATTGGCTACATGTGAAATGTGGCTATTTTGGACAGTGCATGCAGAGTGTTCCAGAGTCAGGAAGAGCAGGAGCCAAAACAGGACCAAAAAAAAAAAAAAATCCTGATAGGTGCCCATCTGATTTTGGTGAAGGAAATAGTGAAGCTAGAAAGGAATGAATACTCTGTGAAAAATATCTAGGGATCAGAAGTATTAATGAGGTGAAGTGTACATATGTGTGAAATGACATAGAGCTGATTGGAAGGAAAATAGTTCTCAGAAAATAGAATGCTGAAGTTTAAGATTTCAAAGGGTAAATAATTGTGAATAGTGAAACAGTGTAAGGCATGGTCATGGGGATGAATTTCTTATGTGGAGTGGGCATGAAAGTCCTAAGAGAGAGTTTAAAAAATAATAATAAACCTGGAGTGGGTATCAGGCACCAAGATGCACAATGAGGTAGTCAGAGCCTCAAGGCTGTTTTTATACAAGGGTGAAAAACGCAATGAAGATATTGTTATCAACAGTTCCTAATGGTCAGGCACTCATGTCTGCTGGTCATGGTACAAAGTGTTTGATCTATGTATAATCTTTAGTCCATTGAGCAACCTTTTGAAGTAGGTTCTCTTATTATTGCCATTTACAGATAAAGGCCATTGGGTCTTAGAAAGACCAAATAATTTGTCCAAGGGAGTTGGGATGTTGCTAGGGTTCAATCCAGGAAAACTGACAATAAGGCTCATCCATTTTAGCACTATGTTTTGTTGTCTTCTCATTTGGGGCAGCAGTGGGTGGCAATAAGAGTCCTTAGTGGCTCCTACTCACCCCAATTCTCACTTATGTCTTCCAGATCTGGGAACCACAGGAAAATATGCATGATTGATTGGAGGAAGAAAGCCCATGGAGGAGTCAATGTCAGAAAAAAAAAATCAGATGATAAAGCGAAGATTTAGGGTAAAAACTGAGAGTGAGTGGCAGTTTATTTACAGTGGAACAAGAGAGTTATTTGCAAAGGGTGCAGGGAGAGAGGAAGAGAGGTAGGTGGAAGCACAGAGTCTATTGGATGAAATTCCTGGAAAGGACAGATTCTTAGAAGATCTTTATTTGGGGTGGTGCCAAAGGCTGACAAGCAAACATTAATTGATCTTGAACTGTCACACTGAGAATATGATATGTATGGCAGGTACTATAGTAACTTCTCATGCCATGAATAAATTTTTAAGTATAATGCTTACATCTACCAATAGGTAATAGAAGAGTACTAACGATGAATAAAAATATAAATTTAGAACATCTGTCTAGTTAGTATAGTACCATTCAACTGGTTCTTGTTATACCTGCTCCCGTGAAGGTATTACACAAGACAAAAACTTCTAGAAGCATCAGAGTGGGGAGAAATCTTAATTTATATATATATATATATTCAGGAGAGGTAACTTTATTTTTATGTGATTGCATTACATGTCCATCATGAGATTTCAATTTTCATATGCCAGTAAGTGAATCTCACTCTGCCTGAAGTCTCCAAATTTCCACCAACACATAATTCTGGGATGGAATTGGTTGGAGTAGTGATAAAGAATGAAAGAGTTGTCTGACTTCTTCACTGTCTTGTTGGGCTGGAGAGCATGAAGTGTGGTTCATCATCTCACAGGTATCCTTCTTTCTGTTTGTTCTATGCAGATTGTAGCTAAATTGTTCCTCATTCTTAACTATGAGGCCTTTTATTTTTTAAACTTCTGGTTGGTGTAATAGCTAAAGAAATAAAAATGATGAGCAAAACTCAGCAACATGGAGAAAAAATTACAAGTACTTCTTGGTAGATGGATATGGATATGAATGTGCCCACTGATAAGATTGTTTGGGATATAGATTCATATGCCAGACACATTACATTTCTTTAGTCCTCAAACTAACACAAATAAATGGGATGTCAGACCTATTATGAATTTTTTTCCCTTACCCTATCCTAAAATTTTCTGGGTCTTAGCCAAAGAAAAGTCCTTCTTTCTAAGATTTTCAAGGTCCCCACTAGTCAGTGCTGAGACTCAAGAGTCTTGGTTGCACAAGTTCTCAAGGACTGAGTCCTTGACGCCCTCCCTGGGAACTTTCCACCCCCCTGAGAGTCTCCAATACTTCTGGGAGGTGGGTGTCAGTCTCCCTCATTTATGCCAGACACCTACCATTACTTTTTCCAGATTTAAGAAGCATCTACCCTACTGAAGTACCCAAAGCAAGATCTGGCTTTCTACCAGTCATTTGAGGAAAAGAGAATGCTAGGGAGAACAGATATAAACCAATATTAAAATAAACTGTGTTCCCCGTTTACCTGGAAAACCCTCACTATGCCAATTCACAAACTAATATGCTCAATGACACAACACAAATATTTAGTTATTTGTATACCATTCAAAATATGAAAAAATAACATACATACCTGAAATTGTTTTAGAAGGTAGATGCTCCACCACTCCAATATTATAAATGAAAGAAAATACACATTAACAAATTGATAAGTTCAAGTTTATACAACTATATAATGGCAGAGCTAGACTATGAATCTAACTCTACCCAGGTTCCAAATCCATGCATTCAGTCACTATAAGGAACCGATGAAGTATGCATTTGAGGGGCATGTCCTATGTGCTGAATCCATTGGTAAATACTCTTCAGACATTGTATCTCTTTTAATCTTAAAAATATACATACATAGATATTAAAATCCATGAAGATGAAGAACTTGATGAATTAAATCCTCATTTACTTGTAATTGTAATCTGGCTCATTCCCAGAAAGCTAATAAATATTTCTGACAAACATTACTAATAACTTTCTACATAGAAAATTTCAGTGTATTTGTTTCTTTCCTTGGCCACGCCCTCCCCAAACTTCTCTCATTCCACAGCTGTCTAGATAGACTCTAATGTTCCTGTGTCCCCACTCACTGAGGGCTTCCTCCCAGCCTCTCCACTAGGTTCCCTTCTTCTTGGCTTTCTGTTCTTCTCAGTCTAGATTCGGATTTCAGTGATTGTGTCCAACCTCTGGTTTTAACAGATGACCTTGGTGATTCACAAAACTTTCTGATTCCTCCTTTCCCCTGAACTTCAGACTCTATTTACACCCATCCATTGGTTTTATCCATTCAGAGGTCTATTAAATTGCTTCAAATTAACATGATAACACTAATTTATCTTGTTTTCCCCAAAACCAGTTTCTACTTTTGAATTTCAATCTCAATTGTTATCATCCAATCACCCAAAAAGTTATCCCTTGACTATTTTCACTTTCCTGAAACTAAATACAGTTAAGAAACACATTATAACCATATACTTTCTAAATATTTCTTTAATCTAGAATCTCTGTTCCGTTTTTAAAAATTGATCCAATAATTAAACAAGACATTATGATTAGGACCTTTGCCCAGGATCTAACACAATTAAAATCTCAACAAATATTTGCTATTTTTTTCCTAATATATAAACAAAAACAATAATGGTCACACAAAAAAAGCACATTGTACCACCACAAATCACTGCTGTTAATTAGATGTTGGACCCTTTGGATTAATACTTCCATTGTTTTTTTCTTTCTTATTTTCCATATTTTTTCCTGTGTCTTCTGAGACTTCTTCAATTTTGCCTTCCATCTCTTCTACTTTTGTTTTAACTTTATTCTGTTAAAATTATTGTAAAAAGTGTTTGTATTAGTCTGTTTTCTTTCTGTCTTTGGATTTAATCTCATTTAAAAGATTAATAAGGACATTTTAAAAGTGCCTTTAGAAAAGATACTTTGCGTTCTTTACCCTGAATAATTTCTGTTTTCTGCATCATCAGACTTTCTGCTTGTTCATTCTTCACGCCTTTGGTTTTCCTGATGCCTGCTGGTCCTAGTTGTCCCTTCATTTTCAAGGTAGCATATATCAGTTACCAGAACTGGCTTGTTGCTTTCCAAAGCTGGTGCGTTTTGCAGTAGGCTCAGTAGGTATCTGTCCTCTCACTCTAACTCTATGGTCTGACTTGGTTTAGCTCTCTGTGTCTTAACCCTATTGCCTAGAAGAGTGTCTGGCACATCATAAGAACCCCCAAACTAAAAGAATACATTGTTATGGAAAGCCTTTCCCTGTTAAAGTTAACAAATTGTTACTAGACTCTAAAGAAAGCTTCTAATGAAACGTAAGCACTAACCTAGTCCTGGGAAAGAAAGAGGAATTTATTTTAAGCATGGTCAACCCTTCAAGCCAGTTTCCTTCTTTTTTCAAATTTTTATTATAGAAACTTTCTAATATTAAATCAAGACAGAAAGAGGCAATACTAATCTGATAAGCAGTATCCTCTGCATTAAGAATGGGAAGACATGATCCTGATTTTATTTGTACTAGAGAGATCTTAAGATGCATCACTTAACTAAACCCTTCTTTCTCTAAATATAGAGTCCATAAATCAACTGCTTGTTTCCCAGGGTTTTGTGGGAATTCAAGTAAATATTTTATAAGATATTTCATCACCTTAGATAAAATGTTTTACAAATACCCAACACCCACTTTCATAGTTAAGCTCAAAACCATACCATAGCATATATCTACCCATAGTTTCTCAAAAACAGCCTGGGATTACACATCTCATTGAAGTGGAGCACATCCGAGAACATGTTTCTGGTTGTCAAACATGAATACAAACTCAATTGAATCAAATTCTCAGGTAATAATCCCTTAATCTTTATATTCTGTTGTTCTCTCTCCATGGTTTTCCTTTTGCTTCTGAAGGAGGCTGAAGCCAACCTTATCTTTGATACGCTCAAAGTTAGCCTGTTAAAGTCTTTTTAACGTTTTTTTTTTTTTCTCACAGATGCTTAAAATTTATCTTTATTTTTTTCTTTTTTGACTTTTATATTTCAGAAACTCATGATGGAATGGTAGGTGACACTTTGTATTAACATTTCCTGAAAAATGTTTAGTTATTTTCAATCGGTATACCCTGGTACTTCTTTTTTAGCTCAAGAAAGTTTTCAGGTAGCCTGGCTTCCTCTCCATTTCCTAGTCTGGATTTCCACTTTGTGAACCCCATATCTTTCTTCTCTCAGGATTCCACTGTTGGTGGTTTCTTCTTCTTCCCTAAAGAGTCAGTAAGGTGTGTCACTCCTATCAGTGTTGAATTTATTTTTGAGGGGGAGGAGTCACCTTGTCCTTCACAACCTCCAGAACATCTTTTAATGCTGTTGTAACTTTAGTTTCTATAAAATCCTTTTTAAATCTCTTAGCTCTTTTTTTTCAACCTTTATTTCTTTCTAAATTATTCTATTTCTTTTATCATATCATTTTCTCTTTTTGGATCACTTTTGCTTTGACTACTTTTGCTTTGACTGTTTCAGAACTCCAAAATTTAAAAATGTGCTTCTATTAGTAAATACTTTTAGAAAGAATCCTTTTCCACTGAAAAATAAACATCATGGGAACTTTTCAACTACATAACTTTTTTTGGTCTTTTTTTTCTTTTAACTTTTTTTTTAATCTATAAAGAGCTGAAACATGTTTGATAGAGAGCTATTTGAAATTAAAGAATGTCAACTCTGTGCCTCTATTACAGAACTTCTCTGACTTCTGTAAGCTGGCAAAATGCCCTGGAAGGAAGGTAATTAGTAATTCTTAGATTCTAGCAAGCATTCTTCCAAAGATCACTGGTTTTATGATAGTCTCACCTGTAGTAAATGTGAAACCCTACAATTTTCAATACACACTTTTATACAGGTGCTTCCATGTCTAACTCTGTAGGAGCGTATCACAAATGGGATGATGCCAGCCAGATTCAATGAGTTAATATCTGTCCTTTTATTTTTTAAGAGTCCCAATATTTTTGTAAACATGGAAGGGGCAGAAGAAAGGAGAAAGAGGAAAAGGGGAAATATCCTAGGCCCTTGGGGAAGTTTCATCTATGCAGTAGAAGTGGGAAGAATATTCAGTTGTAGCCAGAAGTCCAGAAATGGAGGGTGGAAAATATTTTTCTTTTTTTTTCTGATGATAAGTGCTGTTTCATTTTGTGGGTCAATGCATGTTGGCTAGTCAGACCCTAGAAAATCAGAGTTAACAATAATATCCCCCAAATTCTTTACTTGGTTGTCTGTCAGTGTCAATATAAAAGAACAATTCTGCTATAAGGGAATAAGAAAATATTCTGAGCCAAGTATGAGTGACATGGCCCAGTAACATGGCCCAGTAACATGGATTCACGTTGCCCTAAATGATATGTTGTTCCATGGAAGAGGTTACATGTACCTGCATAGCCACAGAACAAACAAGCCCATACAGAATATGTTAACCAAATACATTGGTGGGAGCATTAGATGGGACAAGATTTCAGCAAAAGGGGGAAATCTTTTCTGAGTTTCTAATGTCATGTTATAGCATTCTTTGCTGTAGGGTTGGTAGAGACTGGAGGGCTGCTGAGCTTAAGGATGCATTCCAGAGATTTACTAAATAGTCACGAGGAGGTTAGGTCAGATTCAAAGGTGGAAAGTGGATGGCAATTAAAGGTACTAAGATAGCCCAGGGTAATTCTGGCCCTTGAAGTACAGATTCTATCTCTTCACAATCATGATATTCTCCTCCTCAACCAAGATCAAACAGTCTGCAGGATGTTCAATATAGAGTGAGCTTCTTCA